TTTGACGGATATCTTCACCAGCTGCTAGTCTCCCTTCAAAGCCCGGACCGATATCGATCCAACCCTCGTCACTTACTTCTTTCAAGTAAGGACGGATGAGTTGCTTTGGGTCACTGGGCCGTTTCTCGGCATAGTCTACAGTCGGAATATCTTTCTCACGGTCAGGTACACGAGAGAGGATACCGCTGAGCTTACGATCTACCCAATTCGGCGTTGCTCCCGAGGTAGACAAGATCTCTCTAGGTCCATCGCTTAAGACATATGGTTCATCTGTGATGCGGCAGATTTGCACCGTAATCTCTTTGGTCTCAGTTTGTGAGTCACTCCCTCGACTACGCTGCTCACTCGTTGCTTTACGCCAAGCTTCTCTCGGTATCTTGGTGGTTCTCGATCGGATGGATTCCCTCGTGCGATTACCGCGACCGCTTCTCCCTGACTTTGCGTAATTGTGAAAGTGCTCTTCCAGGTCAGTGAGCTCTTTCTCACTTTTATCCGATCTAAAAGCCAGCGTGACCCCAATGAGCGACAGAGCCCGTCGCCCGAGCAGAACTCGCTCGGAGTGGCCAGTTCGGGATTCTACAACGATGAAAGGTAGGTGATAAACCCGATCACTTCCATCGCTCTTCCACAGTTTCACCGGGATGATCGCTTCTCGTTGTGAGACTTCCGAATTGCTGTCGGCGTAGATCAGACGGACTGGCCTTAATGTGTTAGATACGGCAGCGAGCCCTTGGTCTTGGAGTCGATTCACCAAATCCACAGATATGACCGAGCAAGCAGCTCCAGAGTCCAAGAGCACCTCAGAAGGGAATAACCCAACGCCGCCAAGATCACATCGAACAGTAGGGGCGTGATCGTCTTTATCGATTGATTGAATATAGCGGTGGTCGTGAGATCCATTCAGTAACTCGGAATAGGCAATGTGGATCTCGACCATCTCCTGCTTCGCAGCCACTTCTGGGTTCATTCCGTCGCTGGTCTCTTGCTCTCTGAGGGGTCCTTCTGCTGTCGCCGTCCGTGATCGCGGTTCGAGGGTGTTTTCTTTTCAGGGCATAATCGAGCAATATGGCCTTTGCGCTTACATACTCGACAGTCGATATCAGGGCATACTGCCATCATGTGCCCGCTTCGCTTGCACGCTGTGCATTCGATGCCTTGGGGAACTGGACATGAAGCACGGATATGCTGATAGCTTCCGCATCGGTAACAGTACTTTGCATTGGAGTTTCTGGACGATATGCGGTTATCTCGCTCACCGTTAGCGTTCATGTTCTTCTGTACCTCCCGCTTCGTTCCAGAACTCGTTTGCTCAGATAAACGGAAGAACTCGGCAGTATCGGCGAGGATATCAACTGGAGTAGAGTAGATGTCGGGCCCGTAAAACTGGTCGAGTCTTCCCTTGAGCCAAGTTGGTATACCGCTCAGAATGCGTTGACGATATTCCTTGTCAGATAGATCTCTGCCATCCGAGATAGCCTGGCCACATTCTCTCACTCTTGAGAGAAAGGCCGTGACTGTCTCCTCGTGTCTGAGGACCAGATTCTCGAATCTGTGGATCGTCCTTCCCTGAGACCAACACCGAGAATATCGAGCACTGAGAAGCCGGAGAAGTTCCTCAGCAGCATCCTCAGCTTCCTCGTTGATATTTCTCATGCATTGCTGAGCATAAAGGAGCTCCACTCCCTCTAGACAACGCATGATAAACAGGCAGGCATTCAGTCCAGTAAGGCGGTAGGAGACCGCAGCAGTTCTCGCACGGCTTGACCACTCTTCGAAGGTCTGCTGAAGCTTCTCAGACTTCGCTACTGACCATGGACAACCTTGTGGAAGCTGGAGTCGATAGACGGGGATGTTGGCGCTCGCCTTTCCGCTCGAACTTTGGTCGCCGGATTTGTGTTCCCAGTGCTTCAGGGAAGTTACTATCGAGCTCAATAAAGCATCATATTCTGTAGATCCATCGATAAGGGGGCTGATACTCAATTCGTTGTAGCTCTGGACGGTCTTCAAGGATACAGCTAGGGCCAGCACATAACGGGATTGGCCTTCCTCTCCGTATCCAATGTCACGTAGAGCCCAAGCTATCCTCTGATAAAGCTTGTAGACGCAGTCCTCGTACTCTTCAGCATCGATACCAGTTTCACTCTTTGTGACACTGCTAAGAGTGTCCTTCGCTTTCTTCAAAGTAGTGGCTAGCCTCTTGGCAACACGTGCTATCTCGCTGGAAATTCTCATCGGTCGTACTCCCCGATCGCTCTCATCGAGTAACCAATCTCCAAGCCCATGGACAATCTCACATATGGATGGCGAGGGTGGGTCATCAAGGTCGTAGGACGCTAAGTGCGGGCTCACAAGGTCCTCCGCACTCCAGTGACGGTGGGGTGCCGGCCAGCCCAAATTCCATCTTCATGGTTTTGCTGAGAGGCAAGCGGCTCTGGGGATACTTACGGATATTGGCGAAGGGTGGGAATACTCGTCGTACAAGATGCTGATATTGTCAACTCATCAGTGGCCCACTAATAGTGGGGGTAGAGGATCCGCTCCGAGGAAAAGTCGGAGAAGGGTAAGAAATGGTCTCGTAAGATGGGAACTTGAAGCTCTCATCCGTATGGTCCCTTTACTATCGCATATTTCGGTAGTATCGATCCTATAAGTCATGCCGGTCTGAAGAATCGAGTGGCACTCCGCCTCCCTTGTATGCACTCACTCTCTGTTGCCAATCCAGTAAGTTCATCAAAGTTATCGCCTCTGATACCAAGTCAGGTTGGGCTGTGGCACAAACCCTTCATCAGATGATCTGTGATGAAGGTGTGGCTAGACAGTCTTACTTAGGCTTTTAGTTCTTGACCAAGGATTATTGACGAAAAGAAGTGGTTGGTGACACGAAGATTGGAATTCAATGGTCATCCCATTGCCACCTCGGGGGGAGGATTCCTCCCGGAGGAACTCAAAGCCATCGAGATCCTTATGCTGTTGTCCGTGGTGCATTTTGAAGTCTTGATAAGTTCCGCTGTCCCGTGCAACAGCTGTGGTTATACTACTCCGTACCTCGCGACTCGACGGTTGAGTCGACGTCGTCGACTCTTCACCAGTGGCGAATCACCACTCTCTCCAGCTATCGTTTGTCGTGGTCATATGAAAGCTCCATCCGGTCCGTTTGCTTCACAGGAGTCTCGTGAAATTAAGGATGCTGTTCTCGAAGCGTTAGAACCACCAAGTTGGTGGGAATCCCACCGTGGGACAATATGACTGCTGATGCGTATACGAATGAGGTCCGTGATGGTCAAGATATAACTCTCCGAGAGTTGGCTGATGTTTGGTAGTTGCGTCGACGCGCTGTACGAGATGAACAAGTGCTCCGACGGATAGTACTAGGAAGGTCAAACTTGAAGAAGGTAGGGAGACTATTGAGTATGTCCTGAATTTACGTGCTGGTCATAGTGACTAGTTACGGGCGGGAGTGTGCTGGATTCAGCAGATATCGATAGCGAGAAGTGAGAATGTTGGAGCCACTTAAAGACACAAAAAATGTCCTCTAATGGAGGACCTCCATGGTTGTTCCGTGCGTGTGATATAGCTATGCATCTAGTGTCAATCTAGTATGCTGGTCTGGTACTCTTGAACTTCCATAGATCAAACAACTTACATGACGGTGTTGTTAATCTCAGGTTCTGCGTGAGATTAGACGGTGTTTCGTTAGCTCTCTTCAACTGAAACCGTCATACACACGAGTGTTCAGTGGCCGTTTCCCTCAGTTGTGATTCTCATTTCCGCTACTGCAATGCAGATTCTGCTACTGCATGATGCGGCCCGTATATCAATGAGGAGCGTCCACCGAATCAAGTTCACAGCCCGTGAATCACAGGGGAACCTTGTGGACCTCGACTCGAGGTCCTCGAGTTCTGAGTCATAACTCGAGTCGCCTCGCAGCGAGTGATAACTTATAACACCAACTCATAACTCCGAATTCAACACATTTGAGAGCCCGTATCATACGAGTCGTATGTGAAATGATGGGGAAAAGGGTGAGAATTATTTCTTCGTAAAATGTGGCTTCCGAAAATACTCACATGAAATGAAAGGCGAGAGATAGTAATTCTCGAAGGAATGATGGGTTGCGCCTGTCTGGAAACATCGAAGACATTCTCTTAGCTGTATAAGAAGGATTTCTCATTTCCGATATAGGATAGTTACTTGGTACACACAGATGGGCCAGTACTCAGTTGCGGTTGTTAGCCGAAACACACCGCCTCCAGGGTGTCTGAGAAACTTTCCACAGAAACTTTCTCAGAAAATTTCCGCGAAAGTTTCCAAATTTTTCCGCGAGTGAAATTTTTCAGGAAACTTTTGCTGAGTGTGCATTTTCGATGTTAGAGACCTTTTATTCATCTCATACAGCCTCATGATTGTTAGAATGAAAGAGTCGCTTAGCTACTCTGACCCAGCATGCCTCGAATAAAGGAAATACCTCGCTTCATGTTAAAACCTCAAGTACTGGGCGGAGAATCTCGATTTAGCCAGACCTCTTAGAGAATAATTGTTTCACACTAGATTACTCAGTATGTCTTCCATAGGTGGGCAGTCTTTCGCGGGCCCTGGCCAGGCGAGACAGTCAGGGACTTTGATCCAACATGGAATGGCAATGACATTACCATTGTCAGCTGATGATTGGCTCAAAATGAGCCGCTCAATGTATATTCTACACTGAGCCATCCCAACTTCTACAATATAGAATCTTTCCAATGAAAGTTTGAATGGCAGCTCCCACTTCAAAGCCTTTCCAAAGGGAGTCTACTGATTTCAAACTAAGTAGTCCTCCGAATCTAAGCTAGGGGTGGAATACGATGATCTAGAATCCCGTCATGTGCAGCGCGGCGCCACTGGCGTCATGATGCAGCATAAAGGAGTAATCGAACAAGTTACTGTTGACGGTCGCCGGTATATGAATTCACTCGCACATGTGACCAACACGATCGGCGGCAAAGTTCGTACTAGTTGATTTAGCAAACAGGAAGTTCTCAAATGCAATATGATGCCCACGGAGGCTTGCAAGAATGAATTGTGTCAACGCATTTGCTTTTAATTTCGCGAATATCCCTTCCCCACCAATTGTGAAACTTTCCGAAACTTTCGGAAAAATTCTCGGAAAGTTTCCTCTGAAACTTTCCGGCATTTTGGAATCCCTTTTCCGACACCCTGACCGCCTCCGGGGTTGGGGACTATCAGTCAGAGCTCCGCACTGCCTCCGCTCAACACGGCTCTCCTAGGCAATGGTCCGAGAGTACCATCGATGAAATCGTTGATCATGAAAAGAGCCGTGCGTGGCTGGTCGATGGGTACGAAATGGCCAGCTTGGTATACCTATAAGGGAAGTGCTGTAGAATGTTGAGTTCTTAATACTCTGAAGAAGCCAAACATTCCCTTTCTCTTCCAGCGGATACTGCGGAGTGAACCAATATATTCAGCATACTCAATCACTGAATCAACCTGAGGCTTGAAAGATTGGAAGCAGGAAAATATGTATCAGATCATTGAATGATCATCTCTTGATCGGCAGCAAACACGCCTACTGGGTATTCATAACGGGGAGCTTTGAGGAATTCATCACGCCCTGGCCAATCCATCGCATCCGCCACATGCTCGTAACCAATCCAGTTACATTGGTAATCTTGATCTCCGGCATATAGAAGAACCTTATCGAGGAGCTAGCAGTTAGCTGCTAACTCGAAATGAGATAAACCTCACGATCCAAAGAGTCACACTGATGCATCGAAGATATTCCAACTCAATGCCGGCTACAAAGCAATCAGTGCTATGTCCAAGCAAAGTCCGTTGCCAAGAATATTGTACGTATTATTCTCATATTGGGCATGGATTGCTTCAATCATGAAACAACATCAGGCAGCAGCAGAATGGACATCACTCATGAAAGTCGAGTTCAACATCGGTTGGCAGCCTGTCAATGGCAG